AACAAACTCACATGCAACCTTTTACACTGGGGAAATTCTTCATCTCACTGATCCGATACTTTAATTTTTTCCCCACAGCTTTAAATAGGGAGCACTAGTCTATCCAATTATTCCAACACACAGGACGAGTTTTTCAGCCTTTATTCCATTATTCTAGTAGGATTTGTGTCCTGGTGGCTCGAGGCTTAAGAGCATTCAGACCATTTCTCTTCAAATAGCAACCAGATCTGAGAGGATCTGAGGAAAAATCTTCAAATATGTATCCAGTGAAATGGATGTGTGTCAGAGGTTTTCTAACCCAGGGGTGCAATAGTACTGAAGGATTGATTCCTGGTCTGTCACCATGGAACCTCACCCAGGGAGAGAGCAGGAGCCTTGGCAGAGCTCTCACGATGCACAATAAAGTTTAGGGACACTCTGCCATTGGACCTGTACTGTCCAACCTGGAATGAACACTTCCAGGGATTGAGCAGCCACAGCTGCTCCGGGCAGCCTGTGCCAGTGCCTCAGCATCCTCACAGGGAAGGATTCCTTCCCAATATCCATTGTAAATTTCCTGTCAGTTTGAATCCATTATTCCTTGTCCTATCCCTGTGTGTTATATCCAAAGTGTGTGAATTTCCTAATGTCCCTCAGTTTCCCATGACAGCTCATATCCCCCATCCTGCTTAGCATTCCAAGGGCTGGTGCAGATCCTCTGCAGGGTCCAAGGTCCAATATCCCATCTAAATCTACTGTCGGTTTCAACCCATTCCCCCTTGTCCTGTCACTACACTTCCTGATGAGTCATAGCCCTGGGTGTGCTGAGGCCACCCGTGGCCACTGTGGTGCCCACCTCTGTGACCTCCTATGGGGAACCATTCTGGAGTCCTCTTCCTTGACTCCATCTCCTATGGGGCACAAAGTTTATCTGCTCACACCAGTCCCCAAACCCAAACAAAGCACCCTGGCCCTTGGGGGCTGTCCTATGACTCAACAGTGCCCTTTGTGCATGACTGGGACAGCCTCATCTGTGACATCACAATGGCCACGGGCAATATCCTGGCAGGTTGAAGGGCTCAGAGCCTCAAACCCTTGGTGAGGCTGGTTGGATGCAGATGTCACGCTTCCAGCCCCACCACAACACTGCTATTGAGACACAGCGGAGCCCTAGAGGGACAAGGTAATGTGGTTGGGTTTGGGGATAGGTATCTGCACATAAACTTATTGTCTTTTGCATGCCAAGATGGCATCAAGGGAGGACTCTCCAGAGCCAGGTACCTCTGCCTCGGCAGCCAACACCAGCCAGGGGATCCTGGATGTGCCGCAGCAAAACCAGGAGAACCCCACCTGCATTACCACCGTGTGCTCCAGCCTGTGCAGGCACTGCTTCTGCAACCTCTGCGTGTGGGACTGGAGCCTCGGTCACTCCGTGTGCCCAGCCTGCCAGCGGAGGCTCCAACATACCTTCCCCGAGCACGTGGCCCTATACCACGAGGTGCAGGACTATGTGTATCACAGGAAATGGAGGCGACAGAACCGCTCACCAGGAAGATCATGGAGTCACCTAGACCACAGTTGCCAGGATAGGCCCCCAGACAGGGAACAATGGGAGTTCTTGAGGTGGCACGATGATGGTCACAACCATCAGCATGCCCAAGGGAACAACTCCTCGAGGAGGAGGAGGAGGAGGAGG